ACCACCACTGTTGTGGGAAACCTCCTCATCATGGTCACGGTGACCTCAGATACCCGGCTCCACACTCCCATGTACTTTCTGCTCCGAAATCTGGCTGTCATAGACCTCTGTTTCTCCTCTGTCACTGCCCCAAAGATGCTGGTGGACTTCCTCTCTGAGAAGAAGACCATCTCCTACCAGGGCTGCATGACCCAGATCTTCTTCTTCCACTTTCTGGGAGGTGCCATGGTCTTCTTCCTCTCGGTCATGGCCTATGACCGCCTTGTTGCCATCTCCCGGCCACTCCACTACATCGCCATCATGAACACTCAGCTCTGTGTAGGCTTGATGGTGTCAGCCTGGATGGTAGGATTTGTCCATTCCATTTACCAACTGGCTCTGATGCTCCCATTGCCTTTCTGTGGCCCCAACGTCCTGGATAACTTCTACTGTGATGTCCCCCAAGTGCTGAAACTTGCCTGCACGGACACCTCTCTCCTGGAGTCCCTCATGATATTCAACAGCGGAATGTTGGATGTCATCTGGTTCCTTCTCCTTCTGGTATCTTACACTGTCATCCTGGTGATGCTGAGGTCCCATTCTGGGCAGGCGAGGAGGAAGGCAGCTTCCACCTGCACCACCCACATCATCGTCGTGTCTATGGTTTTCATTCCCAGCATTTACCTCTATGCCCGGCCCTTCACTGCCTTCTCCATGGACAAGGCTGTATCCATCGGCCACACGGTCATGACCCCCATGCTCAACCCCATGATCTACACCCTGAGGAACCAGGAGGTGCAGGCAGCAGTGAGGAGACTAGGGAGGCGCCGGCTGGTTTGTAAGAGGAGCGACAATGAGTAGGTCCCTTCTCCTTGGCTTTGTTTTCTATTTGTTACATGGAGGGAAATCTACTGTGTCTTCTGTCTTCAGAGCTTGTGGATATGGTGTGGAGGTCCTCCTAGGAGGGTGAGTTTTAAAACTAAGCAACTGACTCAGATTTTTAGGAAGAAGGAAAAAGTCATCTTTGGTAGTTAAGGTTTATGCTGGAGTTATGAGAAGTGTTCTCCTGGTTCTGGAAGGCCACACCCTTCTTTTCCTCTTCTTGGTGGATGGCTTCCTCTAATGAGGGGCTATTTCCCCAGTGAGAGCAGTTCTCATTCACATGTTTTCCCAGCCCTTTCGGGTCAGTGTCCAGAGTGTTAGAGAAAGCACAGGCCTTGAAGCTTTAGCCCTATGTTGGGAGCCCCTGACCCATTTCTTCCCAGACTGGTGACCTTGGAGCAGCTCTCTGGCTTCTCTTGAGCTCATGGATTCTTCCTCACCGCACTGGCATAGAGCAGTATCTGACCCAATAAGCTCCCAGATTTCTTGTAAGAGTCCAAAACGTGTAGAAGATTTTATAAACCTTACCTAGAACCTAGGCAAGAATTATTGTCATTGTTATCCTTCTCCCTGACATTTCTTTCATCAGATGGGTAGAGTTTTGGAAGTGTTTGGTGGCCATTCCTCTGTGTAGGAAGGGAGGCTTGGAGAGGGTTGGGGCTGAGCTCCAGAGGGCCTGGCGACATACCCGAGAGTGAAACTGAGAGTAGAAAGTGCACCTCAGTTTGGGGACATGTCTGCAAGAAAATATTCTTATTTTCATTTGTGGTGGATGGCTTGAACTCTTGTGATCTTATTACAAGTATAGTCTTGTGAAAGCATTCTGGAAAGCCACACTTTCGTTTCTGCCTTCTTGGTGGACAGTTTCCACCAAATGTTGGTGCCATTTCTCCATAAGAGGTATCTACTGTCTGTATTTTGACTTCTTTTTCCAATACTCTGTTTCGGTGTGAGCTTGGATTGTTGGAAACAGCACAAGATTTCAAGGTTAATCTTTAAATGAAACACCCCTAACCCACCACTTACCAAACAGATGACTGACCTGGGATAGTTCACGACTCTCTTGGCCTCATGACATCTTCAATAAACTTGCTTAAAATAATATCTGACCTCCAAACTCCACATTTATCATAAGAATCAAATAAAAAAATTGTGTGAGATAACTTTGGGTAAACCATGTAACTATTTTTTTCCAGTCTTTTTCCAATGCTTTTATTTTATTTTCAAATTGGAAAATGTCATCGATGTTCAGAGTATTTCCTCTTTACATTTTCAGTGTAGTGTAATAATTGTTACAAACAAAAGATTGTGTAAAATACATGTAAAATACATAAAAGATTATGTAAAATACATGTAAGTTATAAAATATTATAGCATTATGAAAGCTCCCATAAAGACTACTTGATTCAAGAAATAGAAGTTACCAGCAACTGATACCCAGAGGGTGCTTTCCCTCACATTCATTCACTCCTCCCCAAAATAAACCATCTTAAATTTTGCATTTGCCATCCTATTGCTTATAAAAACATTTTTATCACAGTTTTACATATTCAGTATATTGCTTTGTTTTGCTTATTTTGAGCATTATGAAAATATCCTACTATACATAATACTCTGGGATTTGGGTTTTTTTACTCAACATTATATTTTTAAGCTTATTTGGGTTTTTTTCAGGTTTATTGTTTGTTTGTTTTTTTTCCTATTGCCAACAGTGCTATTTTCAATATTCCTCTGTCTCCAAGTGCCTTTGTGGAGAAGCTATGGGTTATATATCTTGTAATGGGATTGCTAAATTTTGAGATCTCCAAACATATAACTTTACAAAATAGTGCCAAATTGTTTCCCAAAATTGTTGTGCCCATTACATGTTCATAAGTGGTGTCTAGGTGTTCCCATCGATTCACATTCTTCTAACAGTTGATATTGTCAGACCTTTTAATTTCTGCAAGTTTAGTGGGTAAAAAGTATTTCTCTGTAGTCTGTAGAAATTGGCACTTCTCTCCTCCCTAATGTTTCTTTCTATGTATTTATTGCATTCACTTTTCCCATGAAAGCCTTTTGTTAATCTTTCTCTTGACTTTTTCTAGTGAATGTAGGAATTCTCCTATCACTGGGTTACTGCTCTATTATCAGTTATGGCATTGCAATATCTTCTTGCAGCTTGTGGTCTGTCTTTTCTATATGGGGTGTTGATTTTAATGTAGTCCAGTGTATCAGTCCTTTCGTTTTAATATTAACTCTTACTGATATCTAATATTAACTTACAGAAATCTCATTTAGAGGACAGAAAGATAGTCTACATATTTCTTTTACTTTAACTTAAACATTTTCTTAACTTTAAAAATTGGGGGGGGCTGGGTGGCTCAGTCGGTTAAACAACTGATTCTTGATATTAAAAAAAATTTTTTTTAACTTCTTGAAAAATCTCAAACTTACAGAAAAGTTGCCAGTGTAGTATAAAGGACTTTATTTTTGGAGGCTTGAGGGTAAGTAACCAACCTGATACCCACCATTCCTTAATACTTAAACATGCATTCTCTGCAGACATTTTCTTACGGAACTGCCATACCATCATTAACATTAATGCCGTAACAATACATTGCTAGAATCCAATCTTCAGCTTCTATTCAAGTTTTGCCAAACGTCACAGTTGTATGGCAAGTTGCATGGAAAGAGAATCTGGTTCAAAACTGCAATTTGTATTTGTATTAGGCTCCTTGAATCTGGAAGAGCTTCTCCTTGAATTTAGTTATCTTGCCACTTTCAAAGATTACAGGCTAGTGATTTTGTAGAATGTCCCTTGATTTAGATTTTTCTGATGTTTCATTCATGGTGATTAGACTCAGGTGATGCATTCCAGTGACTTTTTCAGGGGCATCCCAGAAATCATGCTGTGCTTTTATTACATCTTATGAAGTGCAAGTGATTTCACTTTGTCCCATTACTGCTGTCCCATCACTTTGATTACCTGTTAGGCTTCTCATCTATTTTTTTAAATTTAATTTAATTTAATTTTTTTTCAGTGTTCCAAAATTCACAGTTTATCCACCACACCCAGTGCTCCATGCAAACGTGCCCTCCTTAATCACCACCACCAGGCTCACCCAACCCCCCAACCCCTTCCCATCCAAAACCCTCAGTTTGTTTCTCAGAGTCCACAGTCTCTCATGGTTTGTCTCCCCCTCCAATTTCCCCCAACTCACTTCTCCTTCCCATCTCCCAATGTCCTCCATGTTATTCCTTATGCTCCACAGTAAGTGAAGCCATATGATAATTGACTCTGCTTGACTTATTTCACTCAGTATAATCTCCTCCAGTCCCGTCCATGTTGATACAAAAGTTGGGTATTCATCCTTTCTGATGGAGGCATAATACTCCATTGTACATATGGACCATATCTTTTTTTATCCATTCGTCCGTTGAAGGGCATCTTGGTTCTTTCCACAGCTTGGTGACTGTGGCCATTGTTGCTCCGAATATTGGGGTACAGGTGGCCCTTTTTTTTTACTACATGTGTATCTTTGGGGTAAATACCTATTCTCCTGAAGCTTTTTCAAAAGATAGAAACAGAAGGAAAACTTCTAGAATCTTTTTATGAAGCCAACATTACCCTGATCCCCAAACCAGGCAAAGACCCCACCAAAAGGGAGAATTTCAGACCAATATCCCTGATGAATACAGATGCCAAGATTCTCAACAAGATCCTAGTTAATAGGACCCAACAGTACCTTAAAAAGATTATCCACCATGACCAGGTGGGAGTTATCCATGGGATGCTAGGGTGGTTCAACATTCGCAAATCAACCAATGTGATAGAACAAATCAATAAGAGAAGAGAGAAGAACCACATGGTCCTCTCAATTGATGCAGAAAAAGAATTCGATAAGATACAGCATCCGTTCCTGATTAAAACGATTCAAAGTATAGGGATAGAGGGAACATTCCTCAACTTCAAAAAAATCTATCTATGAAAAACCCACAGCAAATATCATCCTCAATGGAGAAAAGCTGACAGCCTTCCCTTTGAGATTAGGAATACGACGAGGATGTCCATTCTTGCCACGGTTTTTCAACATGTACTAGAATTCCTAACAACAGCAATCAGACAACAAAAAGAAAGAAAAGGTATTCAAATTGGCAGAGAAGAAGTCAAACTCTCTCTCTTTGCAGGTGATAGGATACTTTATGTGGAAAACCCCAAAGACTCCACCCCCAGACTACTAGAACTCATATGGCAATTCCGTAATGTGGCAGGATACAAAATCAATGTACAGAAATCAGTTGCTTTCTTTCATACACTAACAACAAAAAAATAGAAAGGGAAATTAGAGAATTAATTCCATTTACTATAGCTCCAAGAACCATAAGATACCTGGGAATGAACCTAACCAGAGAGGTAAAGGATCTGTACTCGAAGAACATGCATAAAAGAAATTGAAGAAGACACAAAAAGATGGAAGAACATTCCATGCTCTTGCATCAGAAGAATAAACATTGTTAAAATGTCTGTACTGCCCAGAGCAATCTATACTTTCAATGCCATCCCGATCAAAATTCCAATGGCATTTGTCAAAGAGCTGGAATAAACAATCCCAAAACTTGTATGGAACCAGAAGAGACCCTGAATTGCTTCTCATCTTTGTAATCATTTTCTCTTGAAAAATAGTAAATAGGGGCACCTGGGTGGCTCAGTGGGTTAAAGCCTCTGCCTTCGGCTCCGGTTGTGGTCTCAGGGTCCTGGGATCAAGCCCCCCATCGGGCTCTCTGTTCAGCAGGGAGCCTGCTTCCTCCTCTCTCTCTGCCTGCCTCTCCACCTACTTGTAATCTCTGTCAAATAAATAAAGTCTTAAAAAAAAAAGAATAGTAAATATTTTGTGGGCAGGTACTTTGATACTGTCAATATATGGTTCCTTAACAAACTTCCAATTTATTCTTTTGTTTATTTATATCTGTGTGGACTTGTGTTTTCCTTTTTAAAA